ACTACCCTCTTATGTGTATATGTATACATACACGATTATACATATAAGGATATTATTTTATATATATATATATCAAATTGACTTACTCTAGTTTGGTTATCAACATAGGAATGACGTGCAGGTTTTATATTAATTAAAGAAAACACAGGATTGACAAAAAACAGCACTTTTATTATTTAACAGATACACAATTTATTGGATAACATATACATATATACATTACATTTAATGTATGACCACGACCAAAGGCGTACACGGGGAGAGTGATGTCAAGTCGCCGATGGTCGATGAATCTCATCCCAGCCGATAGGGTCAACCTTTTTATGTGAAGATAAGGACATAACAATAACTATTCAAAGATGTCCATGATCATAATTTAAACATCTATATGACCGTATTTATAATAGTATGGTGAATGTATAAAATATCATGATGATGCCACTCTTTTTCTATAACTTGATTATGAGTGGTTATCATTACAATATACTGGTAAGTTATCATATATTATTAAAGATGCATAGTTTTATACCTGAAACTATGCGGTAGATAATAACTTTATGTTTTTGAACGTTTAGAAAATAATGATTAAAAAGTATTCCTTAAATTTCCAAGACATCGCGTGGTTCACAATAAAATAACCATCCTGTATACAAATACATCATATATTTATGCTTAATATTATATCCAAATATTATGCGCAGTATAAACCCTAATATAGCGTCCGGGGACGATTGATCCACCGTCGTCGAGCCAGTGCTAGTAGTAGACGCTACCAAGCCCAATAAAATCCCCTTTACCATCTTAATCCGACCATCTGAGCCTAATCTGCTTGATTGCGGCATCACATACACACCTAAGAACACACACACACACACACACACGTGTATGTATAAGTATAGTATATACCTTCAGACGCGGTAACACCGGAGACGAGATAACACAACCCCACACGCAGCCACACGTGTGGCGCGTAAAACCCTTTGCATACAGAAGCGCATGCGCATAACGATTACACCTACACAACCAACACATCCACGTTGAACGTAAGTTTCGGTGAAGTTAGTCCCGCAATCCAGCTGTATTCTAATTGTATAAATAACGACCAAGCTTGTCGGTGGTGCAAATGATAATATATTTCCTTGGGGTTGTCGGCCTGTTTAAATAGTCATAGCCGTTACCCGCCCCTCAAAACAATACTATAAATATATATATATTATATATCCTCCCCAAAACCACATATCGTTACTCCGTATTGATATTTCATCAATATAAATTAATAAGAAGCACGAGTTGGGCGTGAGCATTGCTTAGGAATTTTCATTATCGTTATTCACATTGCATCTAGGTTTTGTCTATCCATGTCTACACGACAGTTAAGTATAATATATATGTACCTAAATACTAACTGTAATTACGATGTACCTACAGTGTTTGATATAACCTGACCTGTTGGACCGGAAATTTGGAATTCAACTCGTCGTCACCGACAGAACCGCTTCTATCGACGACAATGGCCGTGCATAAATCATAAATGGTCGATTGATACACTTTTTCGGACTATTATATTATTATTATTACCATTATTATACATATATCACGAGTCATAAGTCATTATCACGGTTTTTCATTATCACGTCCATTTTATTATAATAGATCTTTTTCGTTTAGTTTTTTTTTTTTTCTATACCGTTTTACATTTTTAAAGTATAAGCTCCGAATAGTTAGAGCTATATCATAATACACTATTTTGTTTTATACCATACTACCTATGTGTTTTACTTTAACACTGGTAAGTTTAATACTATTTTTGTGAATGTCACAACAGATTTACCGTACCTATTATCACATTGCTAAAATCGAGTAAAAGACAAATTAAGAACCTTTGTTGGCTAATTAAAATACTTTTTTTTTAATATAAACAGTTAGAATTAATTAGTAATATCAATAATTAGTATGGTAGTTTTTATTAGCTTCAATTGTAAGTTATTTACAATATAAAATTTTTAAACAATTTCAAACACATTATTTTCAAATCGTCGATTTTTTTTTTTTTATCCACAGTCATACGAAATATTTTTTGATTGTGTACAATGTTTTTTTTAGTAATTGGGATCGGATTCCTAAAAATTTGTTCGGAAATCGTTATTGTGTTTTAAAATATTATATAATATAATACTATCGTCGTTTCGCAACGTAATTGGATCCATCGTCACCACTGACGTCGTTACCATTTTCGTCATTATATAGTACTTTGGTCGACCTTGGACGATCCATTTTTCATTTTAATGAACATTATTCGTGCTAAGTAATTATACTAATCTACGTGATGATTTTTATACATTTCGATTAAGAAATGTCTCACTGCTGAGTGTTAAATAACATAACCACACGAACCACCTGCCAACATATTGTTGATTCAGTGACAATAATTTAGTATTAGTGTGAATAGTTATACTATTAACTGTTAAATCAGTTAAGCTCATTTTAAATTTGTAGGTTTGTCATTTGTTTAGTATGAATATACTATATTTTTATTTAATTTATATAAACATTGAAATTATTAATAATTATTTACTAATCTTATACGCAAAGCAATACAATTTGAAGGAATAAAAAAGGTTTAGTTTAGAATCCGATATGAATGGAGAATCATACAATTTTAAACAAACATATGAATATTGTCTATGCTTTTTAACGTGCTATGTAAACACATAAATAACTATACAGAAATTATAAAAAAATAAAATAACATTCAAAATTGTTGATAATTGAAATTCTAACTTAGTAAAATCGTGTAGTCGATATTTAATTTGGTAAGTATAAATAAATAATTCAAAACATTATAATATGCTTTATAATTTTAAACACACATAATATATAATTTAAATTTTATTATCGTATTATCAAGCTACGTATAGAAATAAATAAGTATATAACGCCACTTGTATTGATAAAATTATAAAAATCTATTGTTTTCTTAATTTTTTTAAGATATTATGTATAATAAAAAACAAAAAAAATTTCCATTTACCTACAATCAAAATGTAATTTATAAATTAAAATTATTTTTAACGTTTAGTTAATTCAAAATTTGATTAGTATAATCGCATAATAAATAAATAGCTTTAATTAAAATAAATACGAAAGATACTTAAAAAAAAAACATATTAATTTGTTAAAAACAAAACTATTGTACATGCATATTGATATAAGTATCAATTTAGGAAATGTTTAACACTTATATTCAATAATATAATACATTGTCATGATTTTAAGGTTATGATAAAAATAAAATAATATTATAATAACAGTAATAAAATAGATAGGTTTGAATAATGTATAATATTCAGATTAAAAATCACTTTTTAAGTACTTACCAAAAAACATGCAAAATATTATTTAAAATCGAACGAGTAATATAAATGTATTAATTTATAATTATAATTTATTGTAGTTTCGTAATGGTTAACATTTTTGTACTTAATATGAATATCAAAGTTAAATTTTTATTAATATGTTTCATCTTTTGTAAATTTAATTTCACACAATAAGTAGTGGTGTACGTACTCATTTGATTAATTTAAACGAATTATTGGTTTTTTGCTTAGACAATTTAGTAATATTATAAACTTGTAAATCTCTTTTAAATATCATGCGCGGTGTTATAAATAATAGTATTATCATATCATATGCAATTATTTATTTAAAAAAATATATATTGAGTTTAAATATTATTAGTTAAATAAATATTTGAAAAACAAAAGAAATAAATAAATAAATAATACACCAATCGTATGAAATAGTAAATCCATTTAAAATATTAATTTAAAATATTATTACTAATTTATAGACAAATATGTTATTTGCAACGTTAGATTTAATTAAATTAGGGCAACATTGCCATCAAATTATAATTAAATGATTTTTATTTCTAATGGAAATCCTCCAACCAAAACGTACAATAAAAATAAAGATCAAAATAACTAGATATTCAAACAAAAAAAAACTTACTATTAAGCCTATTAAGATGATGTGATTTAATTAAAATGGTATACATTTTTTTAAAACAAATTTTTATTCACAAGAAAGTATTTTTGTGCTCCTATATTTAATATTTTGAGAGGTATTTGCAAAAAATGCCTTATTCCTTTTGTTGTACTATTCATCCATCAGTTACGAAATTCGTTGCCACGGATACTGATAATGTAATTGTTTGTTTTATTAAAGATATTGCACTATTCTTAACTTATATTCCTACAAGAATCATTTTATATAATTATCTTAGCGAAATTAAATTAATTACAATTTTTAGTTTTTTATTGTCATTTATTTAATGTTTCTCTCATACGTTATATTTTTTTACAATTTCCAATACACGATTATGCGTTTTAATATTAAAACACTTAATTTTATTAATTGATCTTGATTTGTTATTAAATGGTTCTAATTTTTAACTTACATATATATTGTAAATATATTATTTTCATAATAATTGATTTTTTTTACTTTTATCATTTTTTATATTTTTTCAGAAATAAGGTGGAAGGAGGTAAAAAAATAGGTATTAAGTTTCACGTAGCGTCTAAATATTTCAAATGTGATCAAGTGTTAATTTATAATTTTATCAAAACATTATCTAAGCACAAGAAAATACTACGGAAAACTTTAAAATGTCTGTTTTTAAATAGTTATCAATCAAAATTCAGTTATCTACAATAAGTTAATAAAATTATCAAATAATTGAATATCTCTTAGTTTTTTATTTACTCGTATGTTTTATGTATAGTATTCATAATGCACCGATACATATTAGTTCAAGTTTGTCTTTTTTGTAAATCTGTATGCAACTACAATAAAATATATCTCAATAAAATGACGTTACAACAATTACTTGTATTTTATAGTAAAACTGCTTATAATAATATATTAAAAGCATAATTACAAGAATGGTATTGAAAATTGCATACAATTTTATTGTGCTCTTAATACTTTTTTTGTAATCTGTTTTTAATATACATTTCTCTTCGTAAAGCTGAAGTATTCATACGAACTCCTTCTCTGTGGATCCTTTGTGTCGCTGGCTGTGGAAGAGTTGTTAACTCCTCTTTAACATCATGATTCAAATCAATTAAAAGATTGTCGATGTCTCTGTATGTATCGAAAATAATAATATTAGGTAACATAGAAAAAAATTATAATTATTTTTTCTTTTAATAGATTATTTTTTGGTTGTTTGCTGAGAAATAATTTTAGATAACGTCAATTTCAAGCGTTGGGAAAATAACATATTTATTTTAAAAGATTCCTTTTAAAAATATAATAAAAAAACCAACCCATTGTATTTTTTCTATATTCAATTATAATTAAATACATTTTTACTAATCGACTTTAGCTATACGTGTAAAATATACATACAATTTATTGAAAACATTATAATTTGATAAAACGTAATTTTTCTAACCTCATAACTAAATCCTTCGTTGGCTTCACACCAATAAGTATATTTTTCTCTTTAGTATTTTTTTGTAATGATTTTGTTGGGTTCGGAATTGGCTCAAAGTTCTTAAATTCCAACTCCATTTCTTCTTGTTGATCATCTAGATCATGTAATTTTGCAGATTTTTTAACATTTTTGATCCGATTTTTGTTTGTAAATTCATTTATTAAAGCTATAGTATCGATTCCAACAATTTCTGTGGGGGTTATCTGTACTTCTGTCCGAGAAAGAGTTGTTAAATCCACTTTAGCGTTGTTATTCAAATCAATTAAATTACTATTAACGGTGCTGTATGTGTTTATAAAAAACATTAGGTAAAATTAAAAGCTATTATCATTTTTTTTCTTTTAATTGATTATTTTATAGTAATCTGTTGGTAATCTGTTAATAACCAACTTTATATTTTAATATCAATTTTAAAAATGTATAAAAACACAAATATTTTAACAAATAAACCAACGCATCATAACATTTATCTCTATTTAAATTTAATACGTTTTTACTAATTGATAATAAGTTAATTTATACGATATAATAATGATAATTTGTGAATTGTCGTACCTTATAACTATATCTTTTGTTATTGACATATCATCAAATATATTGTTATCTTGAACATTTATATAAAAAGGTTCCTTTAAGTTTAAAACTGAATCAAAATTCTCAGATACTAGCTCCACTTTTTTTTGTTGATCCTCCAAATCATACGATTTTGTAGATGCTGTATCTATTTTAGGAAAGTTTTCGTTCAGGATTTGTGGTTCAATGGTTGTGTAAATTAATAATGCTTTACATTCTGCATCGTCTAGATGCAAACAATTTAAAATTAATTACCAAGATTATTAAAAATTTCAAAGTAATATAATAGGTACTTGTATTTTTTTTGCTAAGTGTCATTTTTAGTTTTTATGTTCAGTTGAATTATTCAAAGTATTAATAATGTATGCGATATAAAAGTATTAACTTATTGTTTTGTTTTGATTTAATTGTTTAAATTTAATTATAAATTGTAAACAAATATGTTGTCCGGGTGATAATCTTCTTATTTTCACTTTTTATATATAAAAATAATATTATATATTTTATTATTATTCATTGAAAAAAGTATTTCATAACAACCTATATATATATATATATATTTCATACTATATTATTAAATTTGCAATAAGATTTTTTTTTTTTTTTATCATTGCGAGAATTTAAAGTAGTTATTAAGCGTATAATAATTTTATTAAATGATATTTAACTTAATAATTACCTTATCATACTCAATATAGTAATATATTATATTAATTAAGAGAAAAAAATAAAAAGTAGTAGGTAGATAAGGAAAGTTTTTAATAATGTATTACTTATCATATTTATTAGATTTTTTCAGAATGAAACTTCTACAGAAAAATTTAAATGTTAAATAAAAGCATAAATTACATATTATTTTATTATACTATATTATATATATATATATTAATAATAATAGCTATACACATAGCTATTTGACAGTTAAACATAATTATCTATCAATAACAATTAGTATTTTATTGCTTGGACTAGAATAAAAAATTATAAATGTCACGTTATATTATATTAAATTATCCAGTGTCTTGAATTTCTACTTCTTTGTAATTTTTATTCATGAAAATGTTTTTATTGTAATTTTCATTTAAAATCTTTTGATATTGTGTAGAATATATTACACATAATATGTTTTTATATATAATTTGTATTTAAATCTAAATGTTGAAACTTTGATAAAAACCATGTCAATTAAATTAATTGCACATTATTATTTATGTTTTACAAATAAAAATAGTAGGTATATAAAAAATTATAAATGGGTATTGGATATTTTTCGTAAAAAGTGTTTTTTTTTTTTTTTTTTTTTTTTTTTTTAAACATTTAAATAAAATTAAATATACATGTACCTGAACTGCACAGTAGTATCATATGATACCATGTATACTTTTGTGTATTACGAAGTAACATTAATATAAAATCGTTAAAACTATAGATAATATTAATCTTTATAACATAACTAAACTATAAAACATTAAAATAAAGTCAAAAAATAGTTAAAAGTAAATAAAACTTAACAACAAACATAACAAGAATCATGTTTTTTCAAAATAACGTATTATGATTTTCGAGCATTGATAATATAAACTGTATGATATGAGAGACATCAAATATTTTATGGAATAAAAACTACATATGTTGATTATCAGATTATACTATTAGTAGTAAATAATTATGTAATCTAAATTATTTTACGCCATAATATGTAATGGTATCATATGATACCTACGTGCATGAAGATGTTAAATCAAATCAGCTAAATTCAAAGACACAAAAAATATTAAACAAAAATAATATCTAGGCATATAAATAACACTATAATCAAATAAATTAACATGCAATTAAGAAAAAGACTTAAATAATTTTTCAATAAACTATTTACATTATATTCAGAATGTAGAAATTGTCCACTGAAAGAAAAAAACTAAAGTTAAACTTATTAACCTTTTTAACTGATCGAGAAAAAAATACTTCTGTTATAAATTATTTACTCCTTACTGAAGGATCTAAAAATAATAATTATAAGTTACTTAACTAATTAAAATTATTAACTCGTGATAAATAAAAGACATTCATTAGGTATCTGTTAAATAACTTCCACCCAGTATCCTTAAACACTTAAGTGTCATAAGTAGATAATGTTAATAGTAACTGAAAAAAATTAATAGAATTAAGTCTTTTAAATTTTTTTTAATATAACTTATATAACTATGATTTATAATATACATTAGGTATGTGCTGTTCAATAGTATTAAAGTTGTATTAAATATATATCTACTATTAAACAATAAATAAACAAAAATGATAAAAATTAATGTAATTTAACGACAAACAAAACATATTATAAAATAATTACAGAATTTATTTGCTTGCAAACTTCTTGTTTTGTAGTTTCAATATTTTTTTTTAAAAATAATTTCCTTTCATCAAAAAAATTTCATTTATGGTATTTTTAATGATTTCAAACTTTATAAGAAATGTTCAAACAATTTTTGATTTTGACATATCAGAGTTGTAATTAGTATTTAATATTAGAAATGTAAATCAAATTTTAAATTAATTACATTAATTACATTTTTAATCGAAAAATAATAATATAAATGTATTTTCAGTTAAATATTATATTATATCAGACTTAGTAATAGTATTACAATGTTATTGAGTATTTTTTTGTAACTCATAAATAAAATAAAATAATTTTATAAAATAACTACACTATATTTGATTAGATTATTTTAGCAATAGATAATTAATTTCAATAACGTTGGTGGTTATTTATTTATCTTATAAAATATCATAAACAGTAATAATTGTATAGTACAAGGAAAAATGTAACTATGAGACTTACATTTAATTTTAATATTTAAAAATAAACAAGTATTATAATATGTAAAGCATAATAAACTAACACGACTTTTTTTACTTAATTATTTCTTTGAGATAATTTTTTTAACTCAAATTCTAATTTATCGACTCAAAAAGACTCAAGTTATTTATTAATTTAACCATGCTAACCTTATGTTTTTTTTTTTTTTCTAGTAAAGTAAATATTCAATTAAGACCATAGGAAACAAAAATAAGATTAAAAGCTTAAACAATCTTGGAAAAATATTATTATACTTAAAACCAATTAGTTGTTTAAAAAAATATACCTAGATTTTAAATTTAAGGGTTTTATATTACGTAATGTTTTCTCGTGTTTATAAGACAAGTAGTATCAATAATAGTAAAATAAAATGGTGTACCATATCATAAATTGTATTTATTTTGTTTAAAACTCGGAGATCATTGTAAAATATTTTAAATCTTTACATTTGAGTTGGCCAATGAAACTCACATTTTATTTTTACATTGTAAACATGAAACATACAATACCCAGATACAGACTGAGTTAAGTGTTAATCGTTCCAAACACTGCACGCGTTTTTCGAACATAAATAATAAAACCTAGTGAAAGGTTTTGTACGCTATAGAGGTAGTCTTATGTACCCTGTACCCATTACTGGTACATATCTTTGAAATTTTCATGTACTAAAAGTGGATATAATTTTACGTACAAAAAAAAAAAAAAGGTAATATTTTTTAACGTTTTGTTTTAGATTGAGTAAAAAGTTTATAGAATTAATTAAAAGTTCTGAGAATATTATCCTTGTAAAAATTAACATAGCAATGTTACACAGTAAAAATGTCTAAGAAAAGATTTTTAAATCCTGGTCCCGACAGGCATATTATAATATAACTAAAGATATAAGCTACCTGTTTTTAACATTTATTAAACCTATAAATAATTGTAATGTATCCGGTCGGTAAGTATAAATGTTCGCGTTTAAAATAAATGTTTACCGTTTACCTATCAAATTTAGTACACATATTCTGTATGCTTACTTGAAAATGATTTTTTTTTTATTGTTATTACCACTGTATTAAATAGATTCTTAACTAAATGAAGGCAATTTATTTATACTGTTAATTAATACTGCAGTGTTGTACAATTGTCATCATCCGAAGCGCACATACTTCATATTATGTAATGTTCGTATCCCTTTTTAGTTGTGAAAAGATAATGAATAAATCATAAAATTAATTAATAAGTGTATAATGCACCACGCATTCAAGTATTTTTTTTTTATTTTTTTTTTAATTAGTTTGTATAAATAATTTCCATTTAAATTTATTCAAGTATTTCTTAAGAACCGTTAATCAAAAATTCTTTGCAATAGTATAATAATAATATATTTTACCAAACATCAGAAATGTTATGTCTTGTTTCTAATTTTTAGTTAACTGCTGTAACGCGTGAGCGAGCGTGGATTAAAATTTTTATTTTCAACGACTTTGAATAAGAAATTATTGACTGCAAATATAAATAAACAAATATATACAATGTATAATAGTTATTACTTTGGTGATTTTAGAGCCATCAACCACTCTTCTCAAATATATTTTAAAGTTGGCCAACTCGAAGTGTCTTACACAGAATTTCCGACTATTTCAATGTCTTTATTACTAATTATTATTATTTTTTTTTTTTTTGAAATATCTATTTTAACAAAAGTTGTATAAAATTAGTAGCCTGAATCAACCTTTGCATTGGAATTTCAAGTTTTTTAGGGGAGTGCATGAGAATTTTTGCGTGAAATGTGGGTTTTGAAAATCGTTAATTAATGTACTAGTTTGCTTAAAGTTGTACACAAACTACAGCTATTATGCCATGTAGAAATAAATACAAACCGTTATCATTTCTTATTTATTTCTCGTTAACTTCCACATAAATGCATTTGATAAGATGACTAAATATTAATCTGTTAAATATGAAAACAATTAAAATTAAATGTTAAGCCTTCAAAATTGTATAAATCGTACTATATATAATATTATGTATAATAAATATTCCACAGTGGTCGTAAATTATTGAGTCATTCATATTGTATTTTCAGCATGTAGATTAATTATTATTTTACATAGAAAGTCTACATTTTTATGTTTCAGCTAACATAATGTAACTGTAAATAACAGTTTTATTCCTGTGTATTTCATATATATTTTATTTTATTTTTTTTTTGGAAAGCTTTCAAGCCATAATTTTATTAGGTATTATAATTAACTCCTAATTAACAAGAAAAATATACTTAAAAAAAAATACTCATTCTGTATATTCATGTAATCTTTTAAAAAATAACATTAATTTTCGGGAACTAATGAAAAATAAATATTTATAACTTCCAGTGCACT